TTTAAATTTAAATTAAGAATTTGACAAAAAGCGTAGAAAATACCGTACATAGGAAAAGCAGAAGTTTGGAAAATTATAAGTCTCGCTTACGGTTACATACTATTAAATGTCATCTGCTGTACTTTTCCATATTCGGCACACTTGGCCGGCGGATTGGCAGCCAACAGGTTTTATTTCACTCGCTATTAAGAAGACGCTGCTGTTCATCTCCTAGTTTGCTTACCTCTGTCGCCTCTCACGACACCCACGGTACGATAGAAGTGGCTACTTTTATACCGCCATCGCACAACACTGTAAACATCTTGATTATGTACCAGTAAAAATTCCATTGTTAAAAGTTAAATCTGCTAGAACATTTAAAATCGACTCGTGCTGATGATGTATAGCTATGAGAACTTTTTAATATTTATTTAACTGTATTAGTATTCTATATGTTTACGCATTGTGAGTTTTATTTAAGTAAAACCAGATAAATATAGATGCTTTGATACTTTTTCGTATGATTAGGCTTTTTGCGTTTAATGAAACATGACACTAATCGTGTAACATCAGTGACAGTAGTTTATAGGCCTCCCAAAAACAGATGATATCAAATATCATATTGAAAGGATTGAAGTTGTGCTATTTTAAAGGATTGAACGACTAAGTATTTTTATTTATACGATTTTCGTATGAATAATTATTTTTAATCATACGTAATAAATCATCATCATCATAAAAATCTATACGTACGGTAAAATATCTATTGGATTTTGAATTTAACATTTTTTTTATTAAGCTCGGTGTAGACCGTAAATATTTTTACTATAGTTGTAATACGCTCTTAACTTGTACCAACGATGTCTGCTGTACAGCAATATTGGTCGATGCGATCGCTCCAATAAGTCTGAGTGCAGATCCAGCCGTTCGCTGACTTCAATGCTGTCTAACCCCGTTACAGGCAAGTGGTTCAATTACTTGCCTGTGTCTTGTTTCTGTCTGTATAACGAAAGAGGTTAACATGCTAATTTATTATTTCTGGTAAGATAATCTCTAAAATAAAATATAAATGTGACTAGCGGGTTAAGTTCAGTACAAATAATGTTCTGCATTGTCGGTTTCCACTTTAAAGAGAGATCTGAAGGCGCTTACCACTATAGCAATTTCAAGATCTTTAAATATTCCAATATATCCAACTTTTATTCAACTTTTACTAAGTGATATTTAATCTGTAAATACTAGAAACAGACGCAGTACCATTTTCACAACTCCACCAACTCAGTAATTCATTCATGGGGCGATGTATACGCTTTTAGAACGAAATCCCAGAAAATATACAATATTTGACTTTCTCTAAGTTAAAAAACTTTATTTAACTAAATTTGTATAAAAAGGTTATTATAATATTAAAGAATTTATGGATGATAATAATAATAATAACCCCTAGGAATGAGGTGATCGCTACCGAGCTAATCCTAATTTGTTTTGTATTGTTAATTGTGTAACAGCTGTAATTAAAAAAAAGTCCCGCTGGGTTTCTTACCGGTTATTGTCAGGACAGAGGTTTTTTCGAACCGAATAAATGCAATAAAGTGTTATCACATTTTAAGGTCATTTACGGGGTTTTGATATGGGTCAGCCTAAATCATTATCGATCTCCGATATAACATTCCATTAAACCACAATCATTACCGGAAGCTGTAGTTGCGCTTGCGGTCTAAAAATATCGATAAAATTATAGCCAAGAAATATTATACGGCTTCGAATTCAACAAATCAAAGGTAGATTATAAACGAGTTTTCTTTGTATTGGTTTTTATCATGGGTTAGGGGTATCTCATAATAGATTATTTACTGGTCGTACTAATCTATACATATAATTTATTATATTAAAATAACTGACTTTGATGGTTCCATGGCGCAGTGGTTTAGCTTGAGTTGTGGGGTTAAGGGCCGCGGTTTCGATTCCCGCATGAAAAAAGTTTTTGTATGGCTTACAAATAATGGTTGCGGGTCTGGATATTTGTCCTTGTGTAATTTATGTACCTATGTAAACTACTTCCACGATACAGGGTAAAATAATAGTTTGTAGGTAATCGTGCTAAAAAATTAAAAAATCTATTAAACTCAGCTTATTTGCAGGCTAGTAAGACTTAAATAACCATTTTTTAAAATTTTTGTTTGTATGTTCGGGTCGTGGCCGTGGTAGCTCAGATGGTTAGCGCTCGCTATAAATCTAACAGTATGCGCGCAACCGGGGTTCGATCCTCGTCGGCATCAATTAAATTGTTACTTGCAATTTTAAGTGCTGATTTAATATGTGCTCAGCGGTGAAGGTAAGCGGCGGACACTTCCTTGTCCTAAAACCCTCTCAGAAATGAGGGGAGGTCTGTGCCCAGCAGTAGGACGTACATAGGCTGTAACTTTACTTTTGTTACTTTTTGTGTCCGAGCTAATCTTCGGAATGTTTTCGCAATTCCAGAAAGGATCTAGGCTATATTTTATCCATAAAATTGACAATAACAGTAGGGAAATCAACACAAAGACGAGATGGATTCACGGGATGGTCAGTTAACAATATTATAAAATCATATGAACAATCATAAGAATATTCTTGTGATCACTTTGCAAACTTACAAATTTTTGGATCACATAATTTCTGTTTACTTTTTCTCCTCGCTTTTTTCTTCTTAATCAACCTTTAAATGCGCACTGCTTCTGGTTATGGGCTTTTCCATTATTATATAGAATCCATAATTGGCCATATTCTAGAATCCAAGATTTTCTATATTCGACACGATTTTTATGGCAAATTAGACATACCAAATATATTTCTCTCATGTGCTAGTTATCTAACAGCTATCTTAAAAGACAGTTACATACAACCAGCTCAGTTAAGGCTAAACCGAGCCCTGCGTACATTTAAAGTAATATTGACACCATGCTGAAATTCTTGACTTCCTCTTCTTCTTCTTTTTGACTTGACATACACACACAACGAGCACACAGTTTACCTGATATTAAGTGGATACTGTGGCCTATAGACATCTATATTAATCCACGATTAAGGATCAAAACTCAGGTGTGCTGTCACCCTTGAGGACTAAGATGGAATACCTCGTTTCCAGTGAAAAGGGTCTCCGGATCTCTACACTCACTATACTAAACACAGGAGTATGAAGCTGCTATTTTACGCCGGTATTCTGTGAGAGCGTGGTCCTTTCCCGGTCGAGCCGACCCATTCGTGCTACAACCATAATAAAGCTGCAGCGTGGCTCTACCACGTATAAAAACTCTGTCTTTTACTGCTGGACATACATATTTTTTACCTAAAATCATCCTTTTTGATATAGAACATCATCTTTTTGATATAGAACTAATGATCACCCCCCGGCATCGCACGAGCAATTTTTGGATCGCGACAACGGTGCAATTGTGAATCTAAAGTACCCACGCAAACGCACACAAATAATTTCATCAAAATAGTTTGTGCCGTTTTCGATTTTTAGCGAGAATAACGTTTAGCAATAGATTAGTAAGTATATAAAGATATAAGGGTGACAAACGAGCGCACAATCCACCTGATGGTAAATGGATGCTGCGAAAAATACTCGTATATATATCAACATCTATCCTCGATTACGAATCAAAATGCAGATGCGTTGTCACCCGTGAGGACTAAGACGGAATGCCTTGTACCCAGTAAAAAGGGTCTCCGATTTTCTACACTACACACACTTACGCTGGTATGTTTTGGTGTACTTTGATAGGTTGTAACGGTAACGTACTCACGGATTTCCGCAATGTAACGCCTGTTGCTAATAATGAATTACTTATCTGAAATGATCGCGGAGAAGTTTTTGGCCAAATACCAAAAGGTTTTTTGTGCGTTCATGGACTTGGAAAAGGCCTATGACAGAGTGGATAGGGATGTGCTATGGCAAACACTGAACTCATTTCGGTTGAGCGCTGGCTTGATGCAGGCATTGGAGTCTCTTTATAGGGACTCTAGTGCTTGTGTTAGGATCAACGGGATCTACTCGGACTGGTTTGACATCCATAAAGGTGTCAGAAAGGCTGTGTGGCTTCCCCGTGGCTGTTCAACCTATTTATGGACAGTTGTTTGCAAAATTTGAAAGTTAAAGAATGCGGATTAAGAATGGGTGAGTTAACCGTCAAATGCCTTTTGTACGCCGATGATCAAGTCATTCTTGCGTCGTCGGCGGCCGATTTGCAAATGATGGTTACATTAATGAACGGATCATTAAAAGAAAGGGGTATGAAAGTGAACGCAAGTAAGACGAAGGTTATGGTTTTTGAAAGAGAAGAAAGTAAAACGATTTGTTAAATAAGAATAGAAGGGGAGTTGATCGAGCAAGTAGATGAGTTTGTATATTTGGGCTGCGTATTTAGCAGGGATGGGAGATATGACAAGGATATAGAACGACGAGTGACACTCTATTGTGAAGAGTTAAAATGTGGCAAAAAAGGCAAGTATGGCAATTCACAATGCTGTGTTGGTCCCTATCTCAACGTATAGTAGTGAAAGTTGGGTGTGGCAGAAGAAGCACGAGAGTAGATTCAACGCAGTAGAAATGCGGTCGTTAAGGAGTATGTTAGGGCTGAATCTGAACGACAGGGTAAGAAATTGTGTAATAAGAGAAGAGTGTAGTTTGCAAGATGATGTTGTGACCAGGATTAAGAAAGGAATGCTTCGGTGGTTTGGTCATGTGGAAAGAATGAATGAGGAAAGAGTGACAAAGAAAATTTATGTTGCAAAATTGAATGGCAGAGTCGGAAAGGGACGTCCTAGGCGAAAATTTATCGACCAAATTGGTGATTTATTGAAAACGGGCCAAATTAGGAGTACCCTTAACCGACGAGCATGTATGCGTAGGTGTATGGATGTGAAGGAGGCGAGAGAGGTGTGTCAGGATCGTGCCAAATGGAAGTCTGTAGTCTCTGCCTACCCCTCTGGGTGACAGGCGTGAGTGTTGATGTTATGTTATGTTATCTTAAATGTTAAATATATCTGTTACTGACCTGCTCCGGCGTATCGGTTTCGAAGGCGTGGCAGTACTGGACGGCGGAGTCGGAGCGTGGCTCTCGGGCGACGAACGCGAACAGCGTACGGGCCGAATCACAAGTTGCGTAAGATATGCGGCGCAGCGCGTGCGACATGCGCACACTCTGTGTGACGTACAAACATGGTTACATGTAGATATAATGTATAATATATAAACGAAACATCGCTGACGCATACACTCATCATCAGATGAGATCTCCAAAACAATACGCCCGATTGACTTAAAATTTGACATATTTTTTTTAGCAGTAAAAAGGTGACAAGCGAGCATTTAGTTCACTTTATTATAAGTAAATGCTGTGGCCCATGACACTACAGCAACGAAGTAATATACATACATACATATATACATTCTGATAACGCTGTTAACGGGAACCACAGGGATTTTGTTTTGTTAGATGTTATATATATATATATATATATATATATATATATATATATATATATATATATATATATATATAAAATTTGCAGACAAGTTTCAGAATAAGTAATATACTATGCAAATGGTGAAGAAAAATTAATTGAAAAAAAAGATTAAAACATTATTTTCTTTTTATCTTTTAAATTCAGAATGCGTGGCAATGCATTATTATACTCCCTCCTTGTCCTAGACATTCTTAACAATTGTAGTACGCCGCATTCCATGCCAGCATCACAATTTATCCAAGCTCACTAAAAAAAATTTTAAAGCAGTATATCTGGCAACACTGTATCCACTCGTCCGTCAATGCAACCTCATTGCGTTTTTTTGTGCCAGCTGTCACAGTGTGTTTTATAATTTTTGTTGTAAAAATTAAATATGTTTAGTGTAAAATCAAATATTTTGTATCCAAAACCTACTACAAATAAATTTATTACTTATCTGATTGGTAATAATTTGATTATGTACTTGGGAAAATGGGAAAGGAAGATATTCAAAATGGAGCTAACCGATCAAAGGTAAACAAAAATCCTATTGTTCGAGGTAGGTGCACGTGTATATAAAATAAATAAAGTTAAAACATTTATTACCTAAATAATAAAATCAGATTCACTGTGCCCATTTATTAACAAGTATTATCGAACAATTTCACTATTAAGGGTTAATAACATAACCTCGTCACTCATATATTGTGAAATAGTAAATAGGTATTTTAACCTATAATTGTGGGTTGAGATACATTGTACAGGGATACGTTGAGAAATTTTAAGTGATATATATTAATGTTTTTATTACTTTCATTTACTTACGTTGGACAGTCGCCATTATCAGTCAGAAAATTGGGGCAGCAGACCCGGAAATTATAAACCCCGAGATTAGTTGTATACCCTGAGATTATAACTAAACTTTCTTTAGTATCAGAAAATCCTGATTATGAAAAGAAATAAGTGCTATAAATAAACTTAACTCATAAGTTTATTAAGGTTATGTAAACCTTTAACATCCACAAAAAAATTGGCAGAACAAGTTAGAAATAATAACTGAATTCTGGGACAAAATTATCCGGTGTGTAAGGGAGAGTCAGTTTACTAGTCCTTAAAATTGTTAATTCCCAAATAAATGGGATTTAATAGATGCATTTTTAAATATAAAGACAGTTTATTATTACATATTATTTTGTAGACACATAAAATAAAAAATAAAAAGCTACATAATATGACACCCCTCTATCAGGCATTGAGTGTTGGTAGGCCTATGTGCAGCTGTGGACTTATATAGACTGTAATGGATGGATGGATAATATGACAAGAAAATAAGAAAAAATGTGATATGAGAACTGTTTTACCTTGATATGAAATATCTAAAAGTTACAAGTTAAATACACATAAAATATAAGTAAGCAAAAAGTGAGTAAAAAATAAGCATTTATAGGCTGTTTAGGAAAATCTGAAAGATTGAACCAAACCTATTAATTAAATTATATCCCTTGTGATATATTGGGCTTCACATGTTGCGAATGAAACCAGATTTGACAGATATGCAAAACAAAAATAGTATTGTAAGCATCAGATTGAATTACAATATATTGTTAAATTATTAAAAGAATAATAAAAAGACAACAGATAGCCTGTAAAATGTTTCATGACTTAGATTATTGTCAATTTTAAAAAATTAACAAAATATAATTAAAAAACTTGGTATAGAAGGTAAACGATAAATTATTATTATTGAGATAGTAAAAAGAATATAATATAATAATTATTATATAACAATTAATATAACAAGACGATAAAATAATATGGAGAAATTTCGGCTGATAGGCAATTAAATTAAAATCGAGACCATGATTAATTAATTCAAATTAAACATAGGCACATTATTGCATTCGAGCTGTTTTATGTAATTTAATATAACCTAAGTAACAAGAAAGAAAGAATTTTTACCATCATTAGGTTTTAAATAGAATGATGAGTTGCAAATGCATTAATGGCCTACAGCGGTACATAAAACATCAATCTGGGAAAATATAAAAATTACATATTTCACTTATTAAAACAGTGGTAAATTAAACAATTAAAAAGAAATTTAAAAATAATTATAGGAAATAATTTTCTATTGTAAGATATTAAAGAGTTATGACAAGTTAAAAATAAGTAATATGTGAAGTAATAATTAAAAAATAAAATAAAAATGGATTTATTCAGTAAAATTAATTATGGTATCATTCATACCTATCATGTTATTATTATCACCTTCATAACTAAAACTGAGTATGGTAAAAGCACAATAGAGTTATGCTGACAGATGCATACACTGATTGCCAAAATATGTTAGCAACATAATAAATTGTTGTAGTAAGAGGGAATTATGTAAAATACTGATATAAATAGTGACTAGATAGATTGTGCATAACCCATTTTGGTTGCTATTAGTAAAATGAGGTTAATAATGTTGTGCTTAAAACCTCATTATATATAATAATGTATATATAATGTTATGTAATATATATTCAGTGGCAAATTTCTGACCTTAGATGGTAGTTAATATTACAAAAAAAAAAAAAAAAAAAACATTAAACACATAAAACCGTTTGAAATATAAATTGACACTTCTCGACTGGAATCGAAAAATTTGGGTTTTAGTCCTTCATGGAGAGTAAATTACATAGATATTATTCTATATTAAAGTAGTATATGCTTATATTTTTGGGAATCGTAGAATACAATACAAAACTTTGAGCAAAACAATATAGGTATAATGAATAGTAAACCTACTACAACTAAATAATACTTATGTTGTACAATTTTACCCAGAGTTGATAAAAATCCGGCTTCTTATATTAACAAGATAGAGAGGGTTCTATTCATTAACTATTGAGGATTCAATACTTTAAATTAAATAAAAATACGGAAATTTAACATACAATCTAAAATTGAGCCAAGTAAACAAAAAACAGTCAGAGGAAGTCTTTCAAGTCTATTCAACAAGATCATAAAGCAGTGTCAAAGCTATAACTTGATCATATTAGTAACGAGAAATAATAAAATTATTATATACTTAACAATGGAGTTCTGTAGGCATGACCCAGAAACCATGGCAGTTATATTAGACTGGGGGACGATTCTTCTTGTATGTAATTCCTCTTAATGTCGATGAGCCAAAAAACCATAGGTTTTTGTGTTTTTTTTCACATGAGAAAATATTTTGCGGTACTGAGATTTAGAAGCAATCAAATAAAGATAATTAATGGTATAGTTTTTATTACAAAGGGCTCAATATTATGAGTATAACATAATGAAAAACTTGTTACAAATTATAGATGTAAAAGTATTAGAAAGTCTCACAAGGGTTTGGCAAAAGAAGTCCAAAAATTGTCAACGTAAGAGAACCCCCACATGATCACCGGACATCAAGGTAGCAAAATAAAACAACATACCAATGATTTGAAAGTTGGGCAAGACTATTCCCACTTTTGACATGTACATAGTTTCGGACAGTATTGAAGGAAAAGGGAAAGTATAATACTGAGGAGATAGGGATGCACAAGCACTATTGAATTAAAACTGCTGGGAAAAATATCTAACAGGAGTTATATAGATGCTATATACAGACCGTTAGAACTGTCACTTAGAATATATACATGGATTTATGTATATATCATAAAATAAGAACGAAAAATACTACTGGCAGATATTAAGCGGTGCAGAGAAGCAGAAGTAATTACTGTGAACTTAAAATTTTTGAGAGAATATCCAGCATAAGTTATTAAAATGCTATGCATTAGAGCTGTCATTTATGAGGATAGACATGGTAAACTATTCAGACCTTACCGCTATGAATTAGAAGGTAGACAGGTCTTAATTCACATATAATATGCTATCATTAGTGGAAAGATATTAAGATGGGCTAGGACTCAGAAGACATCACTGCAGGCTTTAAACCGTTAGAGCTATCACATAGAGGATAGACACGGTTGACTATTCAAACCTTAGAGCTAACACTTTGAGGTTAGACAGGTTTGAATTGAAAGCAATATCACTTGAAGGAAGACATTAAGATGGACTACGGCTCGGAAGAAATCACTGCAGGCTTTAAACTGTTAGAGCTATCACATAGAGGATAGACACAGTTGACTATTCAAATCTTAGAGCTAACACTTTGAGGTTAGACAGATTGAATTGAAAGCATTACAACTTGAAGGAAGACATTAAGATGGACTACGGCTCGGAAGAAATCACTGCAGGCTTTAAACTGTTAGAGCTATCACATAGAGGATAGACACAGTTGACTATTCAAATCTTAGAGCTAACACTTTGAGGTTACACAGATTTGAATTGAAAGCATTACCAATTGAAGGAAGACATTAAGATGGACTATGTCTCGGAATAAATCACTGCAGGCTTTAAACCGTTACAGCTATCACATAGAGGATAGACACCATTAACTATTCAGACCTTTTAGAGCTAACACTTTGAGGTTAGACAGGTTTTGAATTAACATTAAAGCGCTGTCACTATAAACTATAAAGTAGTTTTTTTCACATGAGCAGTAAATGTGAAATAATGAATTATTTATTTTGAGTAAAATAACAAATTATTATTAACACTGCCTATATAAAGATAATCATACTACCATGTCATGTTATAGTCATCTCATAGATATCTCATACACATCATTGGTTACTATTAGTGAAGTATTTTGTACTCCAAGTACTAAATAAAAACCAACTCAAAATATGGTACTCCAAGATTCGCTCCAAAATTCATACTAAGAATTATAGTGAACTCTCCTATGTCAAATACTATAAATTATAAAATAATAAAATAATTAATTCTTTATCGTACCAAATTGTAGTAAGTGTAATGAAATTCCTTCCTGGGCTGTTGTGCCTTTTACTTAGGTTTGAGTTATAAAAATAGACTTAATAATAAGTTACCTTTAGATTATTAACTACAGAATATGGAAATAAATATTGAGAATACAGAAATTTACAAAAACTAGTAACAAGCTGAGCAGTGATGGGTTATAGGTTATAATATACATACATTGTCCTTCAACAAATATTACATTTATTCAAACGGGAGCTCAGTTGTATAGTTAAGATATAGATAGAATTTCACTTCAACAGGGTTTGCATGGGAAAATATAAATAAGAAAGGGGTTGAGCCTTTCTTGTGAATATTTTAATAGAAAACAGAACACAAGATAGTGATAAATTTAACCCACTTAGAATAGTATTTCTTAAGTAAGTTATAAGATGTTAAAATTAAACTGGAATAGATATTCCAGATTGTTTTCTTTTTCAGTCATAATTCTTCCACAGGGCCACTTCTGCTGCAATCAAGCGGGCCTTATGTGTATAAGGAAATGTTATGAAATAACGATAATTTATTTATTTTATTAATTTAAATTTACTATACAGGCAATATGTTCAACATTTTTTATAAAATAAGCGAAATTGTAAATTTCCATTCATTGGTATTATAAATTCGCAACCCTGTCTTCAAACATCTACAATTGTTAAGAATGTCTAGGACAAGGAGGGAGTATAATTAAATGGTTAAACGAACTTACCTTAAGTGAAGTTCAACCATAATTATACGAAGCTCCTTGTCCTAGACGGTACTCCCGGCCCAACCCTCCCTGGGTTAGGGTTGCTCATCTAACTCCTTGCTTTAAACATAATGAGGTTGCATTGACGGACGAGTGGATACAGTGTTGCCAGATATACTGCTTTAAAATTTTTTTTAGTGAGCTTGGATAAATTGTGATGCTGGCATGGAATGCGGCGTACTACAATTGTTAAGAATGTCTAGGACAAGGAGCTTCGTATAATTATGGTTGAACTTCACTTAAGGTAAGTTCGTTTAACCATTTAATTTTAACTGATTGCCACTCATAAATAATACGTGTTTAATCGGATTTTAACAATGAGAGAATAGAGAGTGCATCTGCTTGCGCATATACTCGGATGCTATAACGCTGTCCTGCGCAGATGGCTATTCTCCGTTAAGACGTGATAAAACCACGCTGCGTTCAATAGCTACTGCAAAATGCGTCGGCTCGACTGGAGAAGGCCCACACGCGTACAGAATAGAAGCAAACTGGTGCTGTTTATATATAGTGATTGACGAGAACCGTAGACACTTTTTATTATTAACGATTCATTCATTCAACTCAGATCAACTTAAAATTCTGACATTATCAACTGAGTGCTAGTAAATGCTGTTGTCAAAACCTCCCAAAAACTTTTTATCAATGTGGTGCGTCTACAATTATTTTGGGGATGTTTTTGAACAAAATATCCTATTACATGACACCGGCAAATATACAACCGTACGAGTAATGCACTCGTGCGGCTGTACTTTACCAAAAATAAAATCTGTCACTTCAACCCTATATTCCTAATATGGAGTGTTGAAGTAAGGAGGACCAACTCCCATAGTAAAATAGTTGAAAAAGTTACCATCTGTAAGCAGTAAATAACATTCCAAAAACTCTCCACAACAGCGCTGGAGTAGCTACTGGGATGAAATGAACTTAGCAGTTGCCGACGGTTTAAGTATGCTGCTAAACTGCTCAGTAGCTCTAAAATCTAAAATAATTTTATTTAGTAAATATAACCTCGAAAAAGTCGTCTATCCCACAAATTTACCCCGAAAAATTTTTCGGCGCGTTCTTTAAAATTTACCCCGTAGCTATAGTGGAGCCACCCTTATTTAAAGGTTTTATGGACAATTTTTAAAACACAGTCTGTATTCCCTACTTCTACACTCCATAATTACTAACTAGCTGGTCTAATGGTGGTGGTAACTATGTCCCGTGACTTCGTCTTCGTTATGTTTTTTACGAATGAATTTCATGCGTTTAATTTTTTTGTGCTGATTTCGAATTTTTTTCCAAAATAAAAGTAGGCTAAGTCACTCTTTACAACATCAGACATCTGTCAGTGAAAGTCCCGTCAATATCGGTCCAGCCATTTCGGAGATTAGCCGGAACAACAAACAGATAATAATTTTAATTTTTTTTTTCTTTTATGTTCCGTATAACACTTTCATAGCATTTAGTAAAAAAACTGTTAATTTGACAGTACATAGAGACACTTCAATTTTATTTATATGTGTAGATTAATAATAAGTGGATATAATATTCCTAATATAATAATATTTACCTAGAGTTATTAAACTATAAATTAAAAAATATTTAAAATTTCCATATTTTTTTTATTTGTGCTGGCAACTATGCTGGTCTAGAAAGACCAGTATCACTGCAACGTGTAAGATGTATTGTGATTGCTGCCACGGCTGTGGTTTATACTGTTAAGTCTTATATTTTCAATGAAATGAAGGAGTTGCTTAGCTGTGAGCAATTTCAAATCTTCTAGGCTAAGTACCTAGTTTATATATTATATATTTACTCACCTTGTCGTCGGGGTCGCATATCTTCACCCCAGTTTGTGCAATCACCACCAACACTGGCACCGCACACCCGCTTTCCTGCAGGTAATAAAACCTTTGAATATACAATTCAGCAATATCCCAAGACTTGTATAAAGCCTTCTTGAGATAGATTTAAAGGCTCACATATAGACAAAGAATTGAACAAAATCTTATCATAAAGATAAGATAATACAAAAAGACATAAAGAACGTTAAATATACGGATTGCGAAACTTGTGGGTCAAATCCGCCACTGGACTGCAGTGCGTGTCATAAACACTTTTTTAAGCAAAATTGCAGTGACAAACAAGATTTGGTCTGTTGCTGTTGTTACATGATGGTGATTGGATACTGAAACCAACTCAAAACAAAAACCGTTATCGACGCGTTATCACCTTTAAGTACTAAAATAAGACTGAGTGCATCACAGCCTATAATTTTATTGGCCCTCATACCCTTCAAATACAGCAGTGCGCCTACTACTGCTAGGCGGTATAAATAGAAGTTAAATGTTACATTTTAAATAGGGGTGCTATTGTATTTACGCATAGCATGAGTTCTCAGAACTAGTTAAAAAATCGGAAATGGAACCCTGAATACTTTCTCGTTAATAGGTTATTTGCTTTTTGACGGTAACAATAACTTTGTTATTCCCTGCACTCATGCAAAAGTGAGCGATTTTAGCGAGCGACGAGTACAGTGTTACGATAAACAACTAAGTTTAGCGATAGCTTATAATTATAAAACTGAATTGCATGTTATTTAATAATAAATAAAATAAAAAGATCAACATCGGATTGCAGTTCGTAAACAGGTCTTTTTCAATTCCGTGGGCTTAAAACCTTTCGCATAATGAGTCGCGATAATCCCAACAGGTAGTAACAAATTACGGACAAAACAAAAGCGAGTGCTAGTCTATTAAAAGCTCGTCGGGTTTTATTTACATTGTCATTGTCGGAGTCGCAAAAGTCCGCCCGGGGCGGATTTAATCATTCCCATTGCCGCGGACGTTGCGGAGCCTGCAGTGTGTGGATTACAAACAAACTCGGACGCCGCACTCTTCTAATGAGTCTGCGATTTTTCCTCATTTTTCACTCATCGAGGGATTTCACTTTTGTTTTCGCGTCTTTGTGGAGCACGGCTTATCTTCGACGGAGTCGATTTTTAATGTTGGTTTTACTTGCTTTTTCCTATTTTCATGTTCAGTAGTGTTATAGTCGTATAGTGATTGTATCAT